TCTTCTTTTCTTCTCTTCTATCTTTCTTCTCTCTCTCTCTCTCTCTCTCTCTCTCTCTCTCGATATTCAGTTGAACACTCATATCATTCTCATCCGGTTTTTTATTGCTCATTCTTTTTCCATGTGCTAATTATTGTTTTTACAATGTATATGTTTTGTTCATAAATTATTTAGAAAATTTGATAATATTACACACATTCTGAGATAGCACAGTTTTTTCATTCTTTACGTTTTATAATAATCAAAACTTTTTAAACGGTGTTACGATTCTGACGATTGTCCCTTTTGCATACATAAGATTCGCATGCTGAAATCGCTCTTTCGCCTTCGAGAGGAATATGAATTTTCGATTTTGTCAGTAGGTAGATAGAAAAATCGCCGGTCCAGTGGACTTCACTCCCGGAATCGTTCTTCGATATATGACTTGTGCGTGTTCGGAATAAATTGTCCGAATTGAAAGAATGCTACCAAGACGCGCCAAGATTCAGAATTTTCCTTAGGTTGATGCGTAATGATCAAACGATGATGTGTGCCATCTTAATCGCACATTGCGTTCACGTAGTCGCGACTGGATCGACTTGCTGATGTGCACGCGTTATCATCAGCCACAGAAGTTATCTCGTGTCACGAAAGGGTCACGATAATTCTGCGATACTCGGAAATCATCTTCGACTGGCTCAAATTAATGCGAGTAGAAATGTTTGCCACGGTTTTTCTCAGTTAATATTTCAGAGAAATTTTCACGTAAATATTTTTATTATTAATATTATTAAGAGAGGTAAGGAAAATGAAATTGTTACATCATGTAAATAAATATGTATAAAATATAAACAATAATTAGATTGCTTATGCTGTATATTGTTTCTTCAAAAAGCAATCGAAATGTAAGAAAAGTAATTCTTAGTAACGTTATAAATATTTCTGGAGGATCAATTCTAAGTTGCTCTAATAAGTTTGCAAAGATAAGAAGTACGAATAATTAAAATCATATCATCATATACGTAAATTTCGACAAATAATGTATGTTACGTTCACGACGATAATAAATTTTATTTATTGAACCATTCATGCAGAATACGAAGTTCAATGACACCAAATTCCAGGCGCCATCGGAAAATGTATGCCGCATTCGAATTCCGATTATCCCGGGGTAATACAGCGGAAGTCAATATTGGCATGTTCCGGAGAAGTTGCCGAAGTCGCGTAGCATAGCGATGGAGTTTAAAGGACGTCTTTCGGCTTGTTCTCTCGGAGAAGCGATTGGTGGCGGCCACCGACGGGCTACTCGCGTATGGCAAGACGAGAGGCTTTCATTGTGATTTCGCGAGCGAATTCGTCGAATATTTCAGAATTCGGCCTCAGAGAGCGGCGTGTCCTTATATCTTTTCTCGGATGTCGGCCGTCGGTATTCGTATGCGAACATCTACTATACCTCTTTCTTTATCTCTTTTCAACTCTCATTTCTGCTTTCTTTTTCGTTATATTCATTTTCTCTTTGTCAATGTCCGTCTCTTATCTCCTGTTCTTTCTCTCGAGAACCTCGCGTCTATCCGTAGCCTTAGAAACTCCTCTTTCCCTCTTTCTTTCTTTCCGTCTCGCTTTCTCTCCTTGTCTTTTCTCTTTTTCTCTTATCCCTCTTCGCTACGATCCCTTCCCATACTCTTCCGGAGGAATTCTCTTCTTCTCTCGTCTTCCAGATCGCCTCGGGCTTTCCAAACTTTACCATCTTCTCATGACTCCCACTGCTCCTCTTGCAATTTCTCTTCGTCTAAATAGACCTTTTAGTATTTCGCATTTCTTATATAGTGCGACGCATGCGCTTGTGTTCTTTCGATTGTGCCGGTCTTGTCTTACTTTTCTTCATTTTTTTTGTCCGAAGTCTCGTTTTTTCCAGAACTTTGTAAACTTTATAGAATTGGTTATTTTGAGCTATATTTTGTAATTTGATATTTTTGAAAAATGTTTTTGCTTTATGAATTCTAAGTTATGTAGCACAAACCGTATTTCCTCGGTTTTTTCTTACGCATTCTTCCCCCATTTTATTATCAATGAAATTTCTTATGTGTGAATATTTTTTTTTCATTATCCATATTTCATACATTATTATTTTAAAGTTTATTTTGTTTTTGTTCTTATTTCTTCATATAATAATGCAGTATTATTTTTATAATTTCAAGATATTTGTGTTGTCTTTATTTGTTGGCTTATATATTATATTATATATTATATTCTACTATGTAGTATTTTGTTACGAAATTATGAAAAATATATTTTTCTCTTATTCTTCCTTCTCTTTTCTCTTTTTCTTATTTGATTTTTATTCGTTCTTCTCTAAACATGTTTTATATCATATTGATATCATATTGAAGATTGTAAAAGTGTTGAAATATTAAGAATCACTTTCTTGTTTCTTTTCCGTCTACTTGTTTACTTTTTTTTCCTTGTTCTTTCTTTCTTTTTCTTTCTTTTCCATTTTCTGATTTTTCTTCTTTTTTTGTTTCTTTGCTTACAAAATTAATAACAAAAATTAAGAAATTGAATCTGCAGGCGTAAAGTAACAAAAGATAAAAAAAGATCAATTACGTCTTCAATTACGAGTCAATTTATGCCTGTGGATTCGATTTCTCAAAACATGTATCGAATATATCTTAATTTGTCCGCATTTAAGCTTTATAAATAGGAACAATAGAATTTCTTTGTATTTGAATACTTCTAAAGCAAGATTGATGCGTGACGGTTAGGATGTTTTTGTTTAAAAATTATTATTTATTATAAATATATCTAGCAATATCATCTAGCTTTGGCTCGTATATTGTACGTATCTCATATTCTCCTTTATTTATAATTTTGCGAATTTTTTATTTT